TTAATTATAACTAGTTATGATTAATTATTCATATTTCCCCATGAGCTGATTCGCTACTATATATACAGCTTAAGTCAAAAGTTTGCATACATCTTGTTGATTATTTTACCAAAGTAAGAGGGACCATACAAAATGCATGTTATTGTTTATTTAGTACTGACTAGGGCTGCACGATAAATCGCATGCGATATTTAATGCGCATCTTGTCAGTAAAGTCGGTTCTTTAATCAGCGGTAAATCTCCATCACCTGCGGGCTTTCACATGGAGCAGCATTAACTACACAGAACCGTTGTTCACCAACAAGCTGCGCAAAACCACGATCATATTTTGCGCATGTTTTGCGCAGCTGACAATATGTGCGTTAAATATCGCATGCGATTTATTGTGTAGCCCTAGTACTGACCTGAATAAGATATTTCACATAAAAGAGGTTTACATATAGTTCACAAGAGAAAAAAATAGTTGAATTTATAAAAATCACCCCGTTCAAAAATTTTCATATGCTTGATTCTTAATACGGTGTTGTTACCTGAATGATCCACAGCTGTGTTTTTTGTTTAGTGATAGTTGTTCATGAGTCCCTTGTTTGTCCTGAACAGTTAGACTGCCTGCTGTTTTTCAGAAAAATATTTCAGGTCCCACAAAATCTTTGGTTTTCCAGCATTTTTGTGTATTTGAACTGTTTCCAACAATGACTGTATGATTTTGATATCGATCGAGGACAATTGTATGGAAGTCCTAAGGCCATGGATTAATACTTTTTTTTCTTTATTGTTTTGTCATGATAACATCTTAATTATCTCGTGATCACGACATAACAAAAGTTGTTTTCTCGTGATCACGGCTTAATTTTCTCGTTATCTCGACATAACAAAAGTTGTTTTCTCATTATCACAACTTATTTTTCTCGTGATCTCGACATAACGAAAGTTGTTTTCTCATTATCACAACTTATTTTTCTCGTGATCTCGACATAACGAAAGTTGTTCTCCAAGTTACACAACTGCGCCAACAGGTGGCACTATAGACATGAATATAACTGATGGGGTGTTGTATACTGTATATCCACTTTACTTTACACGTTTGGGACAGAATAAGGACCTTCTTCGTGATCGCTATAATTTGTGCAGTATTGTTCATTACTGACATTTAATTAATTCATAAAGCAACACCACAAACACAGGCGGAGAACGCCTTCAGAAGGATGCAAAGAACTGTTCTAAAATCTTTTAGAGCTGCTTGGATTCAACTCACTTTATTTTCCTTTTATTTGAAGTAAACTTATTTATCATTTGTAATTTTTAGTAGTTATGTAGGATATGCTGTGACTGATATCATGTGCGTTACAAGTTTGGGATGCTGTTTGAAAAGAGCATTTGTGTGTGTGTGTGAGTTCCACAAAGAAATTTAAAAATAAAAAGATTACAACACTGTAGAACATCACTTATTGAAATTAGCCTATAGGCTACACTTTACATATATAAATCACATTTCTTATCAATAGGCTATACATTTAATGATTAACAATAAAGATTAAAAATAAGGAAAAGATGCACATTACAAATACGTCGTTGAAGCGCATCCTAGATAAACACAACATCCCCGCTTATTAACTAACAATCATATAGGCCTACTTCAAAGATGCACAAATAAAGATATAGGTGCAAACAGAAAACAGTGACATCAACACTGGTTTTAATGAGCAGTTCGTTTATCACACGGAACACTATGCGGTGGTGAAACTGTGATGAGTCACGCATCTAGCAAGAACTTAACGATAGACAAAATCATATTGATTCAAGCATTTAATATTTATGAATTAATTAAATGTCAGTAATAAACAATACTGCACAAATTATAGCGATCATGAAGAAGGTCCTTATTCTAACGTGTACAGTAAAGTGGATGTACAGTATACAACACCCCATCAGTTATAGTCAGGTCTATAGTGCCACCTGTTGGCGCAGTTGTGTAACTTAGAGAACAACTTTTGTTATGTCGAGATCCTGTGAAAATTAAGT